GGCGGAATCAGTGGCTGAATCAGGACGCCTGGGGCAGAGCAGGTGGGGTGCTGCTGGGTTGGTCCAGTAGCGCCGAGGAGCGGCCGCGCTACTGGACCAACCCAGCAGCACCCGAGCTGCTCTACCCCAGGCGTCCCCAAGTCAGCCACTGCTGAAACTGACCAGCGGCTGACTACAGGAAGCCCGAGGCAGAGCTGCTCTGCACCGGGCTTCCTGGAATCAGCTGCTGATCAGTTTCAGCAGCAGCTGACTTGGGGACGCCTGGGGGTCTTAAGTTGAATCTGTATGTAAGTCAGAACTGGTGTCCAGATTCAGCGGCTGAATCTGGATGCCACCCCAAGTCAGCCACTGCTGAAACTGACCAGCGGCTGACTACAGGAAGCCCGAGGCAGAGCTGCTCTGCACCGGGCTTCCTGGAATCAGCTGCTGATCAGTTTCAGCAGCAGCTGACTTGGGGACGCCTGGGGGTCTTAAGTTGAATCTGTATGTAAGTCAGAACTGGTGTCCAGATTCAGCGGCTGAATCTGGATGCCAGTTCCGACTTACATACAGATTCAACTTAAGAACAAACCTACAGTCCCTATCTTGTACGTAACCCGGGGACTGCCTGTACATCACTCTTGAATATGTAGTAAGTAGTTTTTGGCTTTGAGCCAGTTATTGAGAGAGCTGAGTTTAATATAAACTCAGTAATCAGGGGAATAATCCAAATGAGTCCTGGAATTTCCCTTTATCCACATCCATCTTGTGACTATAAGCTTTGTGACTAAAAACTGTGTCCTTAAGGAGTAATTGTTGAAAAGTTTTATTACCAGCATTCAATCATGCAGTTCTTGTGAAAGTTCTTATTGTTTATGAGGAATCTAAGTTCACTCTGGCACTGTTTGTACTGTCCCTGAGTCTCTTCAGGGAGGCTCCTGCACATCTTCTTGGGAAATGAGCAGAGTTCTTGTATTTTTTTTAACCTCTGCATATAAGAGCTACTAAGTTCAGCACACTGTGTCTTTGAGGTGCTTCTGTTTGACAGGTTCAGTTTTTACTCTCTAATATATTTACAAAAACATTAAAACTTCAGATTCTGCCACAAGGGAGTTATATGGATTGTGAGCGGTGTTATCTATGTTGGGGTTGCAGGAGAAGGAATGGAGTTAACTCAAAAAGTAAAACACAAAAAATGGTAATATATTATTTTGTAGTTAAGTATATCTCTTGTGTCTTTAAGACTTTAATCCCATTAGGAAGAGGTATAGTTCTTGTTTGGCACACAGCACTGCGTACAAGAAAGCTGTAGCATAAAAATGGTAATGAGCCGGGCCTCTAAATGACCTAATGCGGCACTTAGTGGCAGCTCATATCAGCTGTGTAATATGTGATAGCAACTATTTTCCGTGACTGGCTTTGTAGTTTTTTTATAATTTACAATTAGTTGCTTTTAATTAATGTTTACAATAGGGATGTTAAAATCCGGGTAATTGTGTAAACGTATAACTGCTGAAAAATCTCAGGGGTTACACACACCAGCAGCTGGCTTCCTGAGAGCTGGTACGTGCTACTCCTGGGGAGCCAGCTGTCGCCCCCATGCTGATGCTTCCCTATTAGAGGCAGCAGTGTAGGGCAGTAGGCAGCTCCCCAGGAGCTGGTACGCAGGCAGCAGTATGGGGAGGCAGGTGGGAACTAGTATGCATGGGAAACTGGTGTAAAAGCCAGCTCTCAGCACCAACCAGCTCCCCAGGAGTGGGGCTGGAGCCTGCATGTAACTGTGAACAATAACCTATAAGCCTAGGCTTATCAGTTAACAGTTTACATTGTTATACATTCACATCGCTAGTTTACACGGTGTTTTCAAGATGTGGAGTGCTGGGTGAAATATCTGTATTAGTCAATCCTATTAAGAGATGTTCAATCTATTAAGAGACGTTCCCCTTAAGTATAATTTAATAAAAAAGATGCATGATTAAAACTGAAGAAGAAAATCAATCATTGTGTGGGTGAAAACCTGACCATGCTGAAGTCAGTGAGAGTTCTCTACCTGACTTTGGTGGGACCAGGATTTCATTCTCTGTTTTGACAGAATTTGGGATGAGTTTTCCTCCATGAAATTAATTCCCATTTGTTGAGTTTAGCCCTTTGTTTCTGAAAAAAGTGCAATATTTTGTTGGTGGAAAAGGAATTTTAAGTCTAATTTGATATGCTAGTGCAAAGCATTAATATTGCATGTTAATGGGAACATTGATATTTGTCCAGTGTAGTTTGTGTTTTTTCACTACAGACTAGAGCAGGTGTATGAAAGGATGCATAAGTTAGTGTGAGATTTATGAGCATTATGTGGCAGATTTATATGCTCGTATCTATTCACTACTGCAAGAGCCGAGTGACTGAAAAAGCGACACTTAAGAAAAAGGTGGCTTGGAATTCCATTTAGAAATTAAGTTCAAAACCTCACAAACAGCTTCATTTTCACAGTGCAAGGATATGTCATAGACAACCTAAGCTAGTGAATGGGATGCATGAGTGGTCCTCCTTCATCTCCCTGGGACACGCGATTGTCATGACCAAGATGCTCTTCCAAGATAGGGTAGTTTTGTTAACTGTGCTGGTATTCCTGGAATTTGCAGGGTGTGCCCATTGCACCGTATCCGTGCTTTATTTGGCAATGCTGGGTAAGTCTAATAATGCAGTATATACAAAGAAGAAATTGCATGTCAAGAGATACTCTGGCCATAAATCACAGTAATAATATTAAAATTACTCACAAATCAGTAGAAACCCCCTCTTTGACAAATTCAGATTTTTTGTACCAGGAAGGAGTAATCTACCAATGCAACCAGTGCAGTTTCTCTAAATAAACTGTTCTGTAACTAGACTGATATGAGGAGATCTGAGGCAACATGAAAAATATTGTTTCTGATCACAAAAGAAAGTTCAATCTAGGAATAGGCCCTTATTATGATATTCAGATGAAAATTCAAAATGTGAGGCTGTGAAGGTCTGGGATTTTAGTGTGGGACCACTTCATATAAAACAATAATAAAGGGGGCTCTAGATGGCTTTCCTGAAATGTAGCGTTTTCTTTCTAGTCTTCCTAGGCCAAATATGGCATCTGTCAAGAGTTACAAAAAGCCATTATTGAAGGTTGGTCCTCTCAAATCAGTAAATTTTAGACAGAGCTTAGACAAACTGAGTAAGGATTGAATTAATGCATTTATTTACTGATTATCAAGATAGCTCATAACCTTGTCACTAGGATGCCTTATTTTTAGCTTAAAATGTTTATTGATCATGAACTACTCTTTCATCCTGAGAGGCTGTCTTTTCAGAACAGAGGCAAGGCAGACTGGCAGGATCCCTGTTCGAAAAACTTATGTGTTTCCAATGATATAGAATGAAATGGAAAACTTCCACTTTCAGAGGTGTCATTTGGAATCTTTTGTAATCAGTACATTCACTGGCCCACTGCCTATGCAAAATATAAAAATGGAAGCAAATAAATCTAGCTGCATTTAAAAAAAAAAGGTTTTATTTTTTTAGTATATACACAATAAAACATATATACACATACGCACACATGAAAAAATGAAATACGGGTAGTTTTCAGTCCTTTGTTACAAAGATCAATCAACAATGTAACAGCGGCAGAAACAAAGCAAAAATATCAAACCATTCTTTCCAGGTATACAAATGGCCTATTGTAAAGAGAAATGAATAGCTCTGAGTTTTAAGTACAAACAGCTAGCTTCAATAGATTTTCCTTGCCTCCTAAAAATTCATCGTTAATGAAGTCATAGCCACTTTGTCTTGCAGGTTCTTTAGTGCAGAATAGACTGCATGCCAGATGGGTTTTTTCCTCCGATAGTATATGACTCAGTCTCTGCTGATGTGAATGGGTGTTCACTTTTTCACTTACTAAATCACCTGGGGGTGATCACCCATTTTTCCTCAAATTTCATTTCTACCTTTCTGCAAAATAAGCATCAGTTGCTATGTATTTTGATACACACTCTGGTATTAGATAGAATCGACAGGCTCGTCTAAGGGCAGAATCCACTCTCTGATACACTGGCATGCATTTTCATGTTACACCTACATTTGACAAGCTACTGTATGTGCATGGGCATGTTACCAGAAAGGACGTACTCTGAGATCGTTTGAAACTAGTCATTTGAGAGTATGCAAATGGCACACTATGCCAGGGGTTCTCAAACTTCATTGCATTGTGACCCTCTTTTTATTATACCACCCCAGGAGGAAGGGACCAAAACCTGAATCTTGCCCAAACCCCAGGCCCCTGGCTGGGAGTTTAGAGCCTGGGCTCTACTGCCCCAGGCAAGGGGCTTAAAGCCAAGGCCCAAGGGCTTCAGACCCTGGCCCTCCGGCTTTGGTCCTTGGTGGGTGGGCTCAGCAAGTCTAAACCTGTCCTGGTGACCCCATTAGAATGGAATTGAGACACACTTTGGGGTCCCAACCCACAGTTTGAGAACCGCTGTCCTAGGCATTATCTCAGCCTGTAGAAACAGGGATAAGGATTGGTATCTCTCAAATTCTGCCAGTACTAAGTTGTCCAAAATGCAAGAAAGTTAGCCTCACCTCTAACTCCAAAGCAGAATGGCATATTAAACATGCAGCATTGCAGTATAATAATGATTTGTATGTTAATCAGAAGACTGGGAGACTTATAGAAAGGTCCATTAAAAATCCTTTCTTCATTATGAAGTTCTGTAGATTTTGGTAGACAGGAAATTTCCATTAAAGTTTCAAATACAGGCAGTCCCCGGGTTACATGGATCCGACTTACATCGGATCCCTACTTACAAACGGGGTGAGGCAACCCCACACTAGCTGCTTCCCCTCAGCAGACCAGGGAGATGCGAAGCTAGCGTTCCCCCCCCCCCACTCCCCCAGCAGACCAGGGAGACGCGGAGCGGCTTCTCAGCAGACACCTCAGCTTCAGAATAAAGGACTGAGGGAAGTGAGGTGTGGGAGAATAAAACTGAGCTCTGGAGAAATGTTTGGCTAGAGTTTCCCCTACAATATGTACCAGTTCCGACTTACATACAAATTCAACTTAAGAACAAACCTACAGTCCCTATCTTGTATGTAACCCGGGGACTGCCTGTAGATTTTCTTAAAATTACCTCATGTTGCTAAACTTATGATTCCTAAGCTCTACACAGAGTCTTGAGGATCTGAGCTGTTGCACCTTTATTCTTTCCTCTCTTCCTTCAACTGTCCTATGGTAGGCTGGATGGGACCATCTCCAGAATCTGTACTCTTAGCTCTTCATTTTGCTAGAGATTGATAGTCTGATGCTGAAGTGAGAAGTGACAGATCTCTTCCATCCCTGAACTGGGCAAATAACTGTTTTTTTAATTCAATAACAATTGCAAAAAATAGAGAAAAAAAATCCAAATGGGTTGAAATCATGGAATCAAAGTTTGTTTCACAGTGAGAATTTAAACCTGAGTTTACCTAATGTAAGATGAATACCTAGCAGATGAGTGAGCTAATAGTTATGGGTGGGAATAGCACTTCCAGAATCAGCAGCATCACCACCACCTCATTATTTCTCCTGCTTTTTCCTCTGGCAGGTCTGTGATTTCCCAAAGTTATGTGTGTCAAATTCATGAATAATCAGAAGGCAATTGAAACTGCATTTTTTTTTTTTGGTGGAAAACAATTTGTCCATTTTTTTTGCCCAACTTTGCTGTTCAGCCACTTCCAAACCCTTGTTGCTAGCATGCACTTCTTACATGCACCAGGGTTTGCTTCCTTGGAGGCTAATGAGCTTCAGCTTGTTGTATAGATCTGCTAGTTAATCCTTGCCACTCATGTAGAACCATGGCCTTCTTATCTAGGGCTTTCTAACCCAGTCATTCTCCTGTCTGTTTATGTCTCTGACAGCTAATAGGCTCCATTATAATAAGCTAGAATATGAAGTAATCTGGAAGTAGTACACAGTACAATATGTGGTAATACTTTTTAATCTGGAAAATAAACAGTTGAAATGCTTTTTATTTTGAAACCTTGTGTCACTTGTTCCACATGCTCTTCATTTATCCAATTCCTTCATTAGCTGCTTTGCAGCTTGGAATAATTGTCCATACAGCATGTTATAAGGGATATATGAGTTTATGAAATAATTATACTTTCATGTAGTATTTGACCTTCTGGATTTAGAATTTTCTGTTTCATCTGATGTCAACTTGAAATGCAGTTTTTGATACAACTTTTCTCTAAAGAGCTTGCAGAGAAATAGATAAATAATGGGATCAAGGCACACATTTGCAGCAGACAGGAACTGAGTAAATTCTTTTGCATAGAATAGGTTTTTTCTTGATTGACAGGGGAACTTAGATCCAGTTTGACTTAATGTATATGGAATTCTGCAGAGATGATATGGCACAAAACAAATGATAAATACAAACATGATACTGAATATATTGCGATTGATTTTTTCCCTAGTTAACGTTGAATTTCTCCTGAATTTTCTGTAGGAATGATATATTTTTCTTGATATTGCACTGTAAAAAATGATTAACAGAAGAAACACAGTCCAGAAAATCCCTACACAAATGTAGCTCGAAGCTTTGTGCCACTGAACACCCAGAGGACTTTTACGAGTTACACAATTTTTGGTGGTATTCTCTGTAGCATTTTGGTTCGTTAAAATAATATTTGGCAGTGCTAAAAACATGAGCAGTGCCCATGTGATTACAGAGATAATCTTACTGAAATAAACTGTGTGAACAGAGGATGTAAGCAGAGGCTTTACAATTTTGTAGTATCTGTCAAATCCTATGAGGCCAAAAAATGTTATTCCAATATACATATTTAGGTAAAAAATTACAGCAGAATATCGGCAGACAAAAGCATTGAGCTGCGATAGCCCAATTTCTGAGTCGCTAAGAATTTTAAAAGGAAAAGTCAGACTCATTAGAAGGTCAGCAACAACAATGTTCTTGAGATAGACGACAATGCTTTTCTTGCTTGGAATATGCAGGAAAATCCATGCTGCTATACCATTTAGCAGAATTCCTCCTATGAAAATGAATAGATAAGCCACTGGAAGGACTCGAGTAGTTATTACTGAGCTGTAAGTGCAGTTGTTTCCTGATGTATTTATGCTTGAGTTGGACATCTTAGAATATTTCAGTCTGTGTTCCTGAAAGAGAGAAAGCAGTTTTACCAGTAAGATAAATTGGATGTGATTTGACATCTTAGAATATTTCAGTGTGTGTTCCTGAAAGAAGAGAGAAAGCAGTTTTACCAGTAAGATAAATTGGATGTGATTGTGTTTCAGTTTCCATGATTATAAATTTAACATTTAATGCCCCTTGCTCAGCATATTTTCAGGAACCAAAGTAGATATCATTCTCAACAAAAGTGCTTAGTATAAATGTCTAATCACTGCTGTTGGTTCACACTTTTGACTGTGTCAAATAGAATTGTTTTGAATAGAAAACCTATTGGTTTGTTTTCATAAGTCCTTGATACCTTTCTGTGAGTGTGAATAGCTGCATGTTGTGCATGCTCAACTATGTTCTTGGACAGGTGGTTTATTGCAAAAGAAGTAGGAAATTCTGTGGGACTGCCTTGTGAAAATACCATAGAGAGCACTCACATAGGGATCTAAACTTTCTATGTTTTGGGTGCTTGCAGAAGAAAAGTGCACTTATAGCATTAGTTGTGTTACAGGAAAATGTGGAATAGCAGTGTTCTTTTTGATTTTTTAGTGCCTCAAGTGTGGGTTGTTTTGTGCATTTTCACTTCAATTAAATTACACTTGACCCTCTTTCATCCAGTAACCCTGGGATGCAAAGTTTGCTGGATTAAAGATTTTGCTGGGTTAGGGAGGGAGCGAGAGGAATGAGGTTTGCTGCTTACCTGGTGCTCTGCATCCCCTGCCCCTCCTAAGCATTGCTCCCTGTTGCTATGGGAGCAGCAGGTAAAAGTTAGTGTATTATACTTTGGAAATATTGAAATATTTCATTTTTTCCCTTTAGCATACTACAAGTTGCACCATCTGAGCACAGAGGGTTCCAGACACAGCAATATCTTTGCAGTTCTATTCTGTAGGAGTAATACGTAAGGCATGATTTCCAGTGCTAAAAGGGGGCTCCCTGTTCTTTGTCCAATAGTGGAGACAAGGTTGGTGCTACCGGGGATGAGGAGATTGGTGGCTATATGCAGGGGTCGACAAATTATGGAAAACACCACTCGCCAGACAAAAAAGGGACTTGCCACCCTCCCCCACAAAAAGTGTTTTTTAATGGCATAAATTCCTAATAAGAATAAGAACAGTAATAACTAATAAGTTATTAATAAATATCTTATAAACCTCTACCTGTTCTCTCTGCTGCCATGTCTCCTCCCCTTGCTCCATCAGCTCCCCTGGTGTCGTCTGCCCCCCAACCCCTCACCCTCTGCTGTCTTGACTCCTGCCCTTCTCACTGCCCTCAGCCTTCCTGATACCTGCCCCCCTCCGCCAGCCCTTCTCTCCGCCCTGTGCCCACTCCTCCAATAGCCCTACTCTGATCGTGTGAGCCCCTCTTCATCCCCTCTCCTAAAACCTCCCTCTACCCACCAGGCCTCCCTCACTCCTCTGGTGCTGGTCCCTCCCCTGCAGGTGTCTTCCCTTCTGCTTCATCCCCAGAATCCCTTGGTACCTGCACCCTCCTGGTGCCTCCTCCTTCCCTCACTGCTCCTGTCCCCTTTGCTCTCTTTTTCCCTGATACCCACCCACTCACCACCCTCTGCCCCCATTCTCCTCATGCCCCTGTACCCTCACAGATGCCTTGCTCCATCCCCGCCTTCCTCATGCCTACCCCTTCTTTCAAGCCTTCTTCCAGCACCTCTCCCTCTCCCTCTAGCCCCCAGTGCCCTTACCCTCTCCTCTCCCAGCAACACCCTGTCCCCCCCTTCCTACTGACACCTCCCCTCCTGCCCTTTTCCTCATTGTCTGCACTTGTCCCCCTGGCATTTGTCTCTCCTGCACCCGTCCCTTGGTGCCTTCCCCTTTCTTATTCTTATTTTTCTCCTGACCTCTTCCCCTCAGCACAAGCCACTTCCCCATATTTTCCCCCTCCCTTTCCCACAGCCCAGCCTAGCCCAGTCCCTTCCCCTCCCCAGGGGCCAGTTCTAGGTTTTTTGCTGCCCCAAACAAAACATTTCCCCCCCCTTCGTTGTTGTCTTTTACACGTTTTCATTTTGCAATGGGTTGTCTTTTTGTTTTTCTTTTTTGTCCCAGCATTTTAGTCCTATAAATAACAAATTTATCGGGGGTGCAGTGGAAGCACGGAGAATGGGACGTGGGGAACAGGAGGGACAGAGGGATCGGGGTCTAGAGGCAGTGCAGAGAATGGGCAGCACTGAGCTGGGGAGGGGGCAGGGATCAGGGGGAGCAGGGTGCGGGGTGCAAGGGCAGTGCAGAGCCAAAGGCTTGCAGGGAAGAGGGAGAGCAGGAGGTCCGGGGTGCAGGGGAGACATGGGGAAGGGGCGGCACAGAGAGAAAGGGGGGCTGGGGATGTGGCAGGACTGGAGCCGGCGGGGCGGGCTCTGGCTGTGCTGCGCGCCAGAGCCGAGCTGCCGCAGCCCTTTAAAATCAGCTGGGCCATGTCACGCCAGTGTCCTGGCGTCCCGCCCTGCCTCCTCGCGCCAGAGCTGCACGCAGGCAGCCTGGTGGGAAGAATCGCTGCACTTCCCCCTTCCCAGCGGCACTGTGCTCCTCCGCCAGCCGGCGGATTGGATGGGGCCACGCTGCCCATAGTGTGGGCTTTGGCCAGCCCGTCACAACGGCCCACCGGGCCAGTCCGCCCCTGCACTTGCCAGCTGGAAAAATCTACTTGCCGCGGGCAAGTGCATTTGTCGAGCCCAGGCTATATCCTTGCCCAGATCCATTGGTCATTAGGGCTGCAGAGGCCGCTTCAGTCCGGAGGCAGAAGTAGCCTCTGCACAGTTATTCAGATGGTACAGGTTGAACCTCTCTAATCCAGCATCCTTGGGACCTCACTGGTGCTGAACCAGAGAATTTGCCAAACCACGGGAGGTCAATATTATCTAGCAGCTTTACCAACATTTTCCACTGCTTGCTCGACTTTAATAAGATATTTAGGGGCAAATTAGAGCACAGAACACTGAGAGCCAGGCCTGGTGGCTGTAAACAAACTTTATGGGGCTGCGGGAACCTGGGCCACACCCATGGTAAGTGGGCATCTGGCTAACTAAAATCATACTAGACCACAGATGTTGACGAACCAGAGAGGTTCATCCAGTACTTGTTACTTGGTGAGTAGGCTTTCTTCCTGTTATGCCCCCATAGAGATACTAACTCCATTTACTTGGTCTAGGTACTGGGAATAGGATTAGGAGCATAGTATATGTGATTTAATGACTGTAGATATGTGTAGTTAGAAAGTTCTGGAGTCTCAAACTCTTAGGCAGGTATACTATAGATACCCTGTATATTATTAAAAGGTGTGAGGGTGGGAAATGTTGCTTCAGCAAATTTTACATCCTGTATATTGTGCTTGTAAACAAGAGGCTGGTGAAGAACACTATATAGTGCTGACCTTCCTTGTGTTGGGAATGTAAAATTCCATGTAATTGGTTAACGGATTAAACAGAGGGACTAGGCAGAGGGACTGTGATGGGGCTGGAGCAGCCCCTCCTCTTTGCTGCCTCCCCACCTGTGACAGTCCCAAAGGAGCTGGAGCAGCCTGTGGTGAGTTGCTCCAGCTCCTACCAGATTATTGTTAACCATTAACATCCCTACCTTTGTGTTCTGTTGAAGGACAGCCTATGTGCAGCTAGCATAGCTTGATACAACCTAGTTGTTGGTAGCACAATGCATAAGGATATGTTTTTACACTAGCATAATTTGTAATCTAGAATTGTCTTCTGAAGTGCCCCCAAATAACAATTTCTTGGACATCACATCTGCTGCCTGCTCTGCTGCTGTTTTGACACAAGGTTATAGGGGTTTATTGTCCTTGTTAGTAATGAGCATCTTATCTATTGCTGCTGTATTTGTCAATCTGAAACTTTAAGAACAACAGAGAAAATAAAGCTATTTGAAAGCAAAGTTTTTGATTGTTATCATAAGCTTGTTTTGAAATGGTCACAAGTGAATCAGAAGTGAATAGCAGTTCCATGGAATCCTCTTGCTCTCCCTCTAGCACCCAGTGTCCTTAACCTCTCCTCTCCCTGTGCGTGGGAGGCTGGAACTCAGACACAAACTCACAGTAATTTTAAATACATCACATGGGAAATTTTCTTAGAAAAGGGTCACATTTTGCATACTGTATTTGCGACCTTCCTTTTAAAGAGAGATTGTCAGATTTTAAATCAGTCACTTTTAATTTGGAATAAGATGACGTGGTGTTTGAAGGGTCCCAAATTCTCCCTGTGATTGTTTCAAAGCACCACAGTTAAACCTCTTCCTAGACATATGCTCGAATATCAACAAGTCTAAAATCTAGCTAATTGTCAGTTTTAGTTAGGAAAAAATGTGTGTGTAAGATGTGTTTTGTGTGTGTAAAACTGTTAGGGCTGTTAGACTATAGTCACAATGTTGATAGATGGGGAGGCTCATTAAGGAGAAATAATGTTAATTCACTTAGCGTTTGGGAAGATATTATCAATTATAGGTATATCTTAAAAAAAAAAAACCTTGCTATCGTTTTCCCATCTTAAATTGTGAAAGCTAGATACTTCAAGCCCTATTTAAGGAACTAAACTGATGGGAGTTGCAGATCCTCCATATCTCTGAAAATTTTAACACTTTTATTTAGGTATTAAAGCATCTGTATTTGAAAACTGTAGTCTTCCTTAAACCCTTGTTTGTACTATATATTTTCTTTTATTACTTTAAGCTCTTCCAAGCTGGGAGCTGTTATGTTTGTCAAGTGCCTCAGACACATTTGGATACTATAGGTTGAACCTCTCTAGTCCGGCACTTTCTGGTCCAGTAACATGTGTGATCTGGCGTGATTTTAGTTGGACAGATGTCCAGTTATCATGAGTGTGGCCAAGTTTTCCACAGTTTCATAAAATTTGTTTACAACCACCTGTTGGTGGCCTGTGCTGTTATTTAGCTCTAATTTACACCTAAATGTCTTCTAAGAGCCCAATAAGCAGTGGAAATATTGGTGATACTGCTAGATGATATTGACCGCCTGTAGTTGAGCAAATTTTCTGGTTCAGCACGGGTCAGGTCTCAAGGATGCCAGATTACAGAGGTTCAACCTATACTAGAAAATGAGCTATATGCTCATTCATGAATGGCAAGTGGTTCAGTATGTAGTAGGGTTTTGGGGTAAGCTCTGGTGAAGGTCCTAGCACAGATGCTGCAGACTTTGGAGGTTTGTCTCAAAGGTGTGGATCAAGCAGGTAGGTATAAAAGAACTTTGTTTGTTGTCTCTAGCTTAAGTCAAGACAGAGAACTCCTTAGAGGAAGATTAGTTTCAATTTGTACTTAGTAAAGTTTGACTTTCATAGTTATATAGTTCATAAATATATGACACTGTACAAGCTAGCATGTGTAGTGTGTGTTGAAATTAGACAGAGGACAGAATCTGTAAATCAGCTGAAATCAGTGGCATATTTGTACCTCTCTTACCCTGATTTGGTTGATTGCAATGATGATTTACTGAGGTCTCAGTGTCCGGAGAGAGTTTTGCATCTCAAGGCACAGCAATTTTCCCGTTCCTGAGTAATCTGTACATAAGAAAAAAAAAGTGTTGTGTTAGTGGTTACATATCTTCCTAAGCAGTATTACAAGGGGAGCTGAGAGTAAACACTGTATCTAAGTTGCTGATATTTAATGTTATAAATGATTGTGGAGATCCTTTTTTTGAGAAGCTCTAACACTTCCATTCTTTATAGCAGGCCTTTACTGTTTGGCAGAGACAAATGCCTAGGGCTAGAGATTTCTTATATACATTATATGGAATTCCATTCAGGTTTGACTGAGTTGTAAACTGATAAACACTGTCATTTTCCTGCTGTGGCTTTCATTCCTCAGGAAAATTTTGATATTGCCTAAAAATAAATAATTGTGAACAGTCTGAGGCGTTGGAAGTCTGCATTGGAAGTCTAAGGAGTTACTGGAGCAGCTGTTGTGAGGGGTTGTTGTGTATATAGTCCCAGAATCCAATATCTTTCCCTGTGGAAACCAAATGAAGTACGAGCTCACTATGTTTTGTGGCCATAGAGAGTTGATGAGCTGGGCGGAACTCCTGTAAGCTAGTTGGCTGCACCAGCAGCTCACCTCCTCCCTCTTTTTTAAAAAAGGAGAAAAAAGTCTTCAGTTAACATCATTTTTAAGAACACTTTAAACAGTAAATCTATGTTATCCTTTTCTAATAGTGTGCTAGAAAATTCACTTAGTTCATCCCTGAGGATAGAAATAAGGTGAGGGAAATAATGCCGAAACAAACTTGATTCTTTTTTAACATCGAGAAGTCCTGTGGCATCTTATAAACTAAAAGATTTATTGGAGCATAAGCTTTTGTGGGCAAAGACCCACTTCGTCAGATGCATGTAGTGGAAATTCCAGAGGCAGGTATGAATATACAGGCATATGAAAAGAATACCAATCAAGAGTAAGGCTAGAGATAATGAGGTCAGTTCAGTCAGGGAGGATGAGGCCCACTTCTAGCAGGTGATGTGGAGGTGTGAACACCAAGAGAGGAGAAACTGCTTTTGTAGTTGTGCATTTGACCAAGTGGGTCTTTGCCCATGAAAGCTTATGCTCCAATAAATCTGTTAGTAAGGTGCCACAGGACTTCTTGTTGTTTATGCAGTTTCAGACTAACATGGCTACCCCTCTGATACTTTATTCTTTTTAGCTCATTTGTAACTGAAACTATTATCCTTGACCCGATGTCCCTAACGCAGCCTCTGTAGTTCTTGTTGCAGGGTATATCTAGCTTTTCACTTTCATTGTGGTCCTAGGCAGTGTTCCCTCTAAGCTGCATGGCAGCACAGCTTCACAGGTAATTAATCAGCCCTGCCCTGTCAGTCAGCTCCCTGCATGGAGCCCTTAGCCTCTGACTGGGCAGGGCTGATTAATCATCTGTGAAGCCAAGGGTATTGACTCCCTGGGTGTTCTGGACTGGAGCCAACCATGGGGTGGGTGGGGGATGTGGGGAATTAGCAG